CAAATACAAAATCAAACAAACAAAAGAATTATGGAAAAGTGGAAGAGATATTCAAGAATAATAAATAGTCTGGAGTCACAACAGTCTCCTGAGATGGGGAAGATTCCTTTCTAATATCATGTCTTAGAGCAATCCTAGAGCTAATGATGCTAGGGGCGATGATTAGGGGCCTTTGTGTTGGGAGTAGATGCTTCTGTATATTCTGATGCATTTATCTGCATGAACTACTGTATAGCCCCTAAGAAGGAAGTAAGCAGCACAATCAAGGTAATTTTATCACACTCATCCTCCATGTTCCTCTCTTTCTTAATTTAATTTTCATTGCCCTCCACTACTAAATCATTCTGCACTGAGCAATGCTACTCTCAGCCTTATGGGGCACAAGACAGTTTTTTCAAAGCTATCTCCTGAAAGTCTTGCTGTTGGACAAAGGATCTTTTTCCATTTTTAAGCTTCACCAAGACATTGTACTTCAAAAACTTTTGTTCCTTGAAGTCCCATTTGTGGCACTAAACCTGCATTATATGGGAAAACTGTTGTTTAAACATGTCTTAAAATGGCTTTTTGTGGTCTCTTTGCAAACACATGCTTCTTCTTCCCAACACCCCCCACGGTAGTGTTATCCATGCAGGAATGTCCTGGGAAGGTGTCCTGAGGTGTTTTTCATTGGTCCTTGTTAACCCCTTCCTGTGATTGGGTGTTCCTGTAAGCCCCTTGAGACTTCTAATTGGTTACTCAGTGAATCCTCCTAAACCCTTGTCCTAGTTAGAACAGCTGGGACCGATCCATCATTGGATGGGTGTAGCCCAAAACTGTGTATTCTATAGCCCTCCATGCCATTTCCCAGAAACTGTTGTCAGTAGAGGCCTGCGAGGTGCCCTACCCCCCCATGCTCCTGTCCTCATGCCCTTTTGTGGAATTCCCTGACTGAGCACCCTCACACCCTTTTATGGAATTCCCCACTCTGAGGGAAGGATTGAGCATCCTTTTATGGAATTCCCCGCTCTGGGGGAGGGGATAAGCATTGCTGCCTGAGCTGGAGAATATATAAACCTGGAGTTTCAGAACCTTACCACCTCTTGTGGGATCCAGAGGAGGACTGCAGCTCACTGCTCTCAGCCAGACTGAGACCACCACCCTCAAGTGAACTGCAATCACCACTTTGGCCGGACTGCAGCAGCTCTCCCACCAGCAGGTTTTTTTTTTCCCCTCTCCCTTTGCTTTTGGACTTGGGGGGGGCCCAGGGAACACTGTTTTGTTTGTGCCCTGGGGTGCCAGGTTGTACATTTGGGTTTTGTGGGTTGAGACCAATTGCTTGTCTGTGTAGTCGTGCTTATTGTATTATTTTATTAAATTGTTATTCTGACTTGCAATCTCTGTTTTGAGTTGAGTTCATTTCCCCTGCTGGTTAACTTTTAAACCAGCACAACCCTATAAATGTAACATCCCCAACAATAAACTCTCTCTTGCCTCGCCCGGTGTCCTGTCTCCTTGCTGGCCATGGGGCCACGTGTGGGGGGGGGGAGGGGAGGGCACTTCTCCCCTCCAGGCTCAGGGCCAGAAGAGACCCCTGAAGAACCCCCTGGAGTTCCCAGGGATCCAGACCCATATATTTATAATCACACTTCTTTTTTAACACACCCACATTTGCAACTTTGTGTGTGCAAATCCCACCCACAGTTCTTCTTTAGCTTGTGATCTAATTTCTCACTTACTAACAACTGCATAACAACTGCAATCCTGCACTGAACATAGTCATTGGTACACTCAAAATCTTGCTATAGGCAGAAAGATACAGAACTTCTGAACAAAGCAGATGATTTATTTTTTGTGTAATTAAAATCTTAACTATCTAATCAGAGAATTATTATTAATCTTGATCTAATTATTACATTAAAAAATTAGAGAATAGTATATATATATAAAGTGGATTTCAATAATGATACAGCTTAAATTGGTTTAACCTCCTTTCCTAATGGCTGTCCCCTTTTTGGCTGCTGTGCTCCCCCTTCCACTCTTTCCCTGCATGCAAGTGTTCTGTGCTTCAGTGTCACAGGTTATCAGTGTCCCAGGCCCCACACCAAGCAGAGTATGATGCTGATGGTGGGAGTTTCTTTCTCTTTGTCATCACATGGGGTTATTGTTATCCATGTTCTATCACACTACTACTTTTCTTTTTTCCATTGAAAATGTGAGATTTCATATAGATGAGATTTTATATATGCTGGGTACTTCTTCCATGTTCTCTTTTTTAACCCTAAAACCAATGTACTCAGTTCTCAGGACTGCATTGCTTTCACTACCAGTGATTAACCACTGATGATCTGTTTACAGCAGGTTACTTCCATGCCTGTGTTTCTCCACACAGCATTCTCTGCCTCTCTCAGCAAAGGCTTATGCTACAGTGCTGTTCCTTTATACCATATAGTTTTGCTACGGTAAGAAATATTTAGTTCTACGTAAAAATAAGAGCTGTATAAAAATTATGGTTATACCGGATGATTATACAAAGCTAAACAAAAGTAAAACAGATTAGACAATAGCCACCTGGTCACTAGGAAACTGCTGATAGCAGCTAAAACAAGCTATAGGAAAGCTGTAGGCAGCCCAGGACAAAGCCAGTCAAAGTCTGACAAGTCCAGAGGTCTCATGAAGTTAGAGTGAAGCTTCTCATATGTTGTTACCAGCAATGACAATTTGTATCTGTTGAGTTACAGGGCTAATCTTAGCTGCTAAGGACACTGACTTTCAGTAATCTTAAAAACTGACAACACTTACAAATTTCACCAGGATGCATAAAACAGATTTGAAACTTACAGCACTGTTTAAGATCAGGAGAGACTTGTGACTAGCAACTCAGCAGTTGCCCTGACTCAGGTTCCCATCGTCTCTTCAATGTAGCGAGGTGGGTACTGCACTCAGCCTGCCACAGCTGACCTCCACTCAGGGAAATTCCACTCCCTCCCTGCTACAGCACAGCGATGAGCCAGATACCACGAGTTTCATGGGTTGATCACATCCACGTGCTAGGTTTCTGCTTGACACCTTACTTAACTTTCACATTGCTTCTCACTGGGATCTTCTGCGACTGCTCAGCAGCACCATTAGAGGGTTTACTAGCAAGCTGCCTAACATGGGATGTTGCTATCTGCTCGAATAAAGTCAGAAGGTATCTGACAATTTTATCGCAGAGAATTACTTGACAGATGATAACCCTGTCTCAATTCTGCAGCAATTCCTTCAAAAGCCTACAGGATCTAAGTGCAAATTTCTTATGAGAACAATTTGTAGAGTAGTTTCAGTGATACTGTTCAGTGTTAGCACCAATTTGTGGCTTATTTTTGCCTCAACTGTGGATGGAAGAGGGATTAAATAGATTTTACCTTCAAACAGTAATCTGATTTGCTACTATATATGAAAAACCCATTTCTTTTTTGCTCTGTGAGCACACATTTATTTTTTTGCAGGACTACCTGCAACTGGTATATAATTTTTTATATAGAAGTCAGATGGTTTTTATTTGTCTTACCTTCTTCAATGAGAAAATACAAAATCAGATTGAAACAGCAGGCAAAATAGTGTATATATGCACAAAGCAACGTACAGTCATGCCTCCTCCAGGCTGGAGCTGTCGTCAGTTACAACAAAGCCGACACACAGTCTGTGCAAAATATGCCAATAACCCATCTTTCTCTTCAGTTCATGCTGAGCTTCACATGAGGTGTGATCCAAGGGAAGTACTGGTTTTGGGAGAAAGCCAATATCTGGGAATATTTTCCCCTCCATCTGATGTGAAAGTGCCTCAGTATGGTGCTACAAACTCTAAAGGTTCTGGCTGACAGCTAGTCCAGATGTCTGAGGTCACACATACCACCACACCACCAACCGTATCTCAAAGAGGCATGTGAAAACCAATGCTTCACACATGTGAGAAGACTGTAAATTTGCAAAAAATATTCTCTGCGTGGCACAAGGTGATTTCGTGCCAAGTAGTTTAGAAGCCTTCCCAAGTGTATGTGTTTACTTTGCTCTGAAGCACTAAGTCCACTTCGATCACCACAGAAATCAGAGCTATAAAGGCAACTGGTCTGAAGAGATGGAAAAAGCTCTTTTCTTCTTATGTCTCTGAAATGGCTAATTGGCACCTGGCAGATTATTTTACATCATGGAAGCTTGAGGAGCTACTAAGAAAAACAATGGAGCAGAGAAGTACTTTCAAGTGGGAAGTTGTGAGTAGTGAAGTTGGACAACGGCAGAGCCTCTGCTGTGATGATTTCTCCCCAGATTGTCCCACTTACATATTGTGGTTGGTCATCTGTCATGCCCTTAGAGCTGTGGAAAAGCAAGTTCTTAATCAAAAGCATTTTTTTTTGCAAACAGAACATGTTCATCATAATGCATTTTTAGCATTTATATGGAAAAAACTCAAATATAGAAGATATTGTTCTTGAGCTATATCACCAGCTGCAGGCAAGAGTCCTATTTACCTTGGCAAAATTCTGTTTTTATTGAATTCAAAGCAGACTTCTGTCCATCAAAAGCATCACTTTTTGTAGTACCAGTCAGACCTTTCAAGCCCTTCTAGAATTTAGCACTGATGTCTTTTTGTCCTGCCGGAGTGATTGGGGGAGCATAGGAACACAGGAAAATCAATCATGTTTTTGGGAATTAGGATGAGAAGACACAGAGTGTGAAGGCTGCTCCAGAGGCAGCAGCATGCTGATGTTGTGGCCTTTCCTCCCACTGCAAGGGAGGATTTATGAACCTGGGCTGGAGGAGGAATGAAGAAGAACTAGAATTTTCCACTTGGCCATGTAGTTTGATGCAACTCCTCAAATATTCCCAGAGAGCAGAATTAGCTGGAGACTGCCTTGTAGGTTTTTTGAGAAATACACATAGTTTCATCACCAGGCTGAGCCCTCCTCAGCACCTGCATGACTGCCCTTCAGAAACATCATGCCTCTATGACACTGTGCATTGGACACTCTTCGACCGCCCTGACACCATGGCCCTCTGTGGCTCCCTCAGCATTGATCAGTTCACATCAGTGCTGGGACCCAGTAGGAAATAGTGCCCTGGAGCGCCTGGACAAGAATTCTTGGGAGCAGGCTTGTACCTTTTGGTGAGTATGTAGGTCCATTTTGTTTCTGTAGAAAAGCTCTATAATACTTTAGATTTCTCAGTGACTAAGCCTACTTCTCATCCCTCACCCACTCATTACACATTTGGCATCATTAGTTACACTGGTGCTAGTCATACTGAGGCTCTGGAGGGGCTGGACAGCTCTGAGTGCTTGCATAATGCATTATATGCCTCCAGCAGTGCCTTACTCCTTTGCTCTTTCACAACAATAGTAAGGATGTCTGGACTTAATTTTTTCCCCCTTTCCTTCTCTTCATCTGGTCTTACTAGCCTCTCTGGGGCCACCATTACTAGGCACAGTTCCCTTAAAGCACACAGCCACTCACACCTCCCCCACTGCTGTTTGCTGTACTGCCAGTGCCTGAGGCTATCCTGAGGACTTTTTCTCTGACAGTGTCTAATGCAATTCTGTGTATTTCCTTCTTATTTAAAACAATAAAACTTCCTATCTGCTTCCTTTTTCCAGGTGTACCACGACCTCTTTTTGCTATTTTCACATTAAACCAATCCATTTAAGGTACTGACTTTTAAGCAAGAACTTTAACAAGGAATGCTTTAATTTATTTTTTTAACATCTGTGGAACTGCTGCTGCCTGTGTCCACCTCTGGGGCTGCCCTCTCTCCAATCTTGGGGCCTGAGGCAGCTGGCTGCCATGGTCAGTGGGGCTATCTTTGGCTTCCAAAAAGACTACTGTTGCTGTTCTGTGGCACCGCCAGTGACAGTTTTCTCTGTTGTTACAAATGTTCATCATTTCAAAAGTTATTTTTAGGATGATAACCTTTTCACACTTAATCTCATCAGGTCTCCCAGGTACTTAAAATGACTGTTGGGAATAATCAGATCTATGAACCTTTAAAGTGAACCATCTTCATCTCTCAGCTTCATTTCTGAACTACATCTCTCTTACATATACATATATCCTGTCTGTGGATACACTTCCATCGATGGGAAGGTGTTAATGGAACAAGAAATATGTGCTTAAATATCTGAAACCTATTACTTTATTGTGTTAAAGCAACCATAGGAACCTTAACTTCTGTCCAGCCAAGAAAAATACTGAAAACAAATAAATGAAATGAGGAAATAAAGGTTAAAATGGGTTAATGACAAAACTCAACCTGGTCTCCCAATGAGATAGCTCTACTGGCTTCAGACACTCTCAGATTTATATTTCTATGAATTCAGAACAGATGAAAAAGAGAATTAAAATATTAATCAAAATTTATTCCAACTTGTGCCCTTGGAAGACATTCTAAAACTTTGTTTGTTGTTCAAAGAGGGAGGTTCTGGTTCTGGTTGGTACAGTGGAAGACTTCATTGCTATCTGACACTATATTTACATTTAAGAAGGGCACAGCACTCCAAAACAGGTACCTCACAATGGTTTTTTTTGCAGCACAAGTGGCTCTCTAAATGCCATTGAAAACTTGAAGCCCTCAACAAATACTGTGCCAGTTCTGCAAGGTGACTGTGTGCATACAGTTCTGAAAGAATTACTCCAAATGTAAATAATAAAGTAATCTGTTGTTAAATACTGTATTTTTAATGCCACAGGTATCCATTTCTTGTTGTAGCATTTCTGTGTAAATTCCTGTGATACTCAGCACTAAGCACACTTTTGACCTTGTATCTTAACAGACTTGTACAGTATGTCAGTTGAGGCTACAAGAATGTCCATAGAATTTTTTTTTTTTTTTTTTTTTTTTTTTTTTTTTTTTTTGGTGTTCCCATGCTTATTTTTATTTGTTCTTGTAGCCTGGAGCTGATGTAGAACTTCATCCCTATTACCACTAACTTCTTCTGTTAGTCATTTCACATTTCTGCAGAACACGTTTATGTAACATAAACAATAAGAACAATGAAAAAATAAGGAGAATGGAGAAATAAATTAACACAAAGAAATAAAATGGTGTTCATTCTGCTCTGCCATAGTGCTGCTAATTCACAAATACTTAGGAATTCATGTTTTTTATAAAAATGTTTTTAAAGACTAAAAAGTTCAGAAATCTAATATAAAATGCTTTTGTCAATTTGGATATTTGCTATCTCCTTCTTCATAAGTTTTCTTTGTTCAGCCTGAAAACAGAAAGATTATTCAGTGAAAGAAAAGCAATCAAATCCAGTATAACGTTAAGAATTCAAATGTGCCATATCTCTATGTTGCTGCTGCATAGAACTGTTGTTGATGAGAAATTAATTCTGAAATAAAGTGTACTTTTACTGCTTGAGAACATATTCCCACTGTAAGGATTCTGCATTCCCATATCCTCCCTTTTATCCACACCAGCAATCACAAAGCTGCTTAGTTATGATAGAGTGATAGACCCATGAGACAGAGGGTCATCTTTTTGTAGGATTGGTTGTGAACAGGATCAAGGAACTGAGCAGAACTGGCAGCATTGACACCTGGCAGCATGATGTGGGGCAGGTATGGTTAAGTATAGAGGTGGAAGAAAGCAGAATCCTCTTTCAGTAGTAGCATAAGCTTGAGTAGTTTTGCATAAACTAATTGCAAAACCTCACCCTGAATAAAAAGAAATTAGGCCCATATTACAATCTGAACAACACTAATTCATTTCTAAGCAACCATTTGAGTGAGGTTACAGTGTCTCTTACACTCTCTTGCCCTTTTTTCCTAAGTCAAAATTCTACCCAAATCTCTTCTAACAGAGTTTTTTACTATGCCCATTACACAGAGTTTGCAAGGCTGTCAGTGTCACTCAGCTTTGCCCCTGCTCTTCTATGTGCCAGCAAAACTGCACATGAGTCTATTTGGTATCACTGACTTGTCACAAATTCCTTTGGTCCTTCCTTTAAAACCTTTTGTCTCATTTAGATATTCAGGTTCAAGGATCATGCAGATATTTTATCAAAATGCATTATTTCTCTAGTGTGTTTTGTTGACAGGAAGTTTAAGCTTCACCATCTCCTCTTACAAAGATTTTGCTAAGCTTTGAAATTGTTATTCAGTGAAGTGAAGTGGTAAATCTGTCCTCATCCGTGCTGTTCAAACCACTGACTGGAACATTTCTGACTGACATTATTGAAAAGAAATATAACCCAAATCTCTTTTATTTTCAGTTTTCAGTGTCTTCAGTGATGTATGAAATTTCTTTTAGGTCATTACAAATCTTTATCAATTTTTTTTCTTCACTTGTCATAGTAATGCAGACTGTGTATTACAATTTTCACTAGTGAAAAAGCATGACTTGAAGTTAGAATGGACAGAAACATTTGCCTGGATTTGAAAGCAATACATATTATGTGCAGCAGGACTTTACCTGCTTGGTCACACCAAAGTTAACACGGTGGGTTACAGTGGGGATTTGCTTTGGGAACCTTCAGGATGGAATGCCAGCTACTGTATTCTGATTTTTATGGAATTATGTTTACCAGAAGTTTTTCCATGTTTTCTGAACACATGGCCTCTGTTCTTTTCTAAGATGTCAAAGTAGGATGTTAGCCTGAGGAAAATCCTAAACAAGCTGTTCTTAACTGGGCAAGAGGAATGATTTCCTCACTCTAACTCAGGAAGAGGTCTGAGAAATAGAAAAAATTGAACAGGGATTTGTAACTGCTTTTGGGAAAGGAAATAGAGGCTTGATATTAGCAGCTTTTAGAATTAGTGCTTTAAACACACGTTCCTCCTTTTCCTTGTTACTCAGCCACTTATAGCAGGATCTGTATGACTGATATTGGCCATGGAAAACAGAATTTTTCCTGAGTTCAAACACTGCATGCAGCATGGTAGCTAACTAGTGGTCCAGAAGATTAGCAAATCCTGTGATTACCAACTAATTATGCTGGTGTGAAAGCCAAATTGGTTCATTGCACAAATTCAAGAAAAGTGAGGGTGTAGTCAAAGGATGCTTTTCTTTCTATGAAGACAATGTAGGAAGGAATACTATTATCCATGATTGAACTATATGAACACTCTTTGGTGGAGTATTTAACGAGTTATTTTGCTTTCCTTTTGATTTACAGTACATAAATATACATTAATTAAATGTGTGCTGCTGGAGGTCACTTTACAATGTAACCAGGTTCTTTTTCTTCTCCATTCACTTTATTATTCCATGCCGGTCAAGGTTTTTAAGCTTCTTGTATTTTTCTAAGTATGACTGTGTATGTTAACTTAAAGATTTAATGAAGGCAAAATATGTATGGGCAAGCTACCATTTCTGAGAAGAACTCTGCACACTGTGTTCAGCAGACACTATGAAAAATAAACCATAATACCTGTCAGAGGGTCTAGAAAAGTTAACATGATGGGAGTAAAAAGCATTACAGCTATATCTCCCAGGAGGAGCAGTGGCAGTGAATGTAGTTGAACTCTGAACTACATAAAACAAACCCCAACAACAAAACTGCCCCAAAACCCCCCAGCTGTATGCAGTTCTGTAGACTGAAAGTGTTTCAAGGAACCTTCTGGTTGTTTTTTAAGTTCTGTATTATTTTATACAGTCTATTTTATAAGGATTTTCAAGTTCTAATTCAAAACACGAAAAGATGTTAAACCATCAATATTTCACAGGTATAAATATGTCAGAGTCACTCAGTTTTTCCCTCCATAATTCAGGCCCCTAATTAGTGGCTGTAACTAACTAAGACCATTCTGCCATTTTAAATATGGCTTATGACACTAACTTAACATATATGACATCCTTCAAGATACTGGATAGATTGTGGCTTCTCACAGTCCTACTGAAGAAAAATATTTGATTTAGTTGCTTACACTGAAGTATCCACTGCTATTTTCAATGCCCTAGAGTGTCTGGAAAACATCCATCACAACATAGGACCCATGAGAGACTGGTGATCATCTGTGGAAACTAAGACATCTGCCTTGGACTTGCAGATTTGACAAA